CGTATGGGACTGAGGAAAGCTATTTATGTGGATGTCGAATACTCCGTTCTTTATCGTGGTTGGGAGTTGAGTGCTATACCTTACAGCAGGATCATGATCAATAATTGTGAGCCTTCTTCGTAATCGCTTGGCCAATATGAATGTCTAGTTATACTCGCATAAACTGTAATCCATGCATGCATTTGGGCTTGTTTGGTAACGTTTTACAGAACAGTTTTTTTGTTTTACAGATACAAAAAACGAATGTAAACTAGGATGAATTCATAAGCAATATAAGCAATCGGGCTATGAATGCAACATATAAGTAAGAGAAAACTGAATGCAGCCATAACTAAGAGATAGAACAGAAGAAAAACAAGATGCAATGGCATTTTTTCTTGTTTAATTATGTATTACACTCACAATACTGCTTTTTTGAATATGTTTAACCTCCAAATTTGAGTTTATGTTCTTATCAATTTATTCTCAGCACTCTAATTTATTTAATATGATACAAGCTGCAGCACAATGGCAATTATGATCAATCATTTCCTGTCATTCTAATTCGGAGATGACTGGTAACTCTTGGCGATGGCGTTTTGCAAGCATAGTGATATCGTTTCTTGCTGAAGCGGCAGAGGAGAAAGGATTAGGAGGCAATTTTACGTTGTCTTCTCCTTCCAACATTTGAACGACAGCTTTCATTGAAGGACGGTCTACTGGATACCACTGGATGCACCATAGCCCCACAATTGCAAGTTTCGTGGCAATTTTAGCATCATTCTCTCCCTCGACGTGGATGCGTATGTCATCCCCTTGTTCTAGAAGATTATAGACCCATTCGGGGAAATAAACTTGCCCTGTATTCTCCTCTGTGACTTGAACATTTTTCCTGCCCGCAACCATTTCAAGTAACAACATTCCGAAACTGTAGACATCTGACTTGTAAGACACGGTACCAAAGTTCCTTGAGAACACTTCCGGCGCAATGTATCCCATGGTACCCCTAGCAGTTGTCATGGAAACTGCACTTTGGTCCTTGGAGCACAACTTGGCAAGACCGAAATCTGAGATTTTTGGGTTGAAGTTGTCATCTAATAGAACATTGTGAGGTTTGATATCGAAATGAAGGATTCGTTGGTCACATCCATGGTGAAGATACTCAATTCCTTTGGCTATGCTGAGTGTAATATGTTGCAGCTTCTCCCAACCAAGGAAATGGTTCTTGCTGTCTGCTGACGAAATGAAATTTTGCAGTGAACCGTTTGGTGCAAATTCATAAACTAAGGCTCGCCTAAATCCATCAGCGCAATATCCAACCAAGCGAACCACGTTAATATGGTGGATCCGACCTAATGTTCCCACTTCATTGATAAACTCTTCTCCATTTCCTTTGGAATTGTTGAGCATCTTTACAGCAACAAAGATCTCACTCGAAAGCTTTCCTTTGAACACTGTTCCAAATGTTCCCTGTCCCAACTTGTCTCTAAATTTATTTGTAATCCGCTTGATATCTGCATATGAGTACCTTGTAGGCCTGAGAGCTCTGTAGTTTTCCAAAAATTCTTCGATCATGGTTCGCCGCTCCTTTTCTTTTCGGTCAAAAGTATATACACGATGGAGTCCGAGAAGTATCAACACAAGTAAAAATGAACCAAGGACTGCACCTGCATATTTTAAGTTCAATTAAGAACCTCTACACTTAACTTCAAAATTGAAAAAGGAAAAAAAAAAAAAAATTCTTTCATGGTGAATATTGCATATAGAACGAACCTGTAACAACTAGTTTTTTCGCGGTACCTGTAGAAAGATTTTAATCCCATTAGTTCTTCATGTGTACCAAATCATTAAATCATTGCATATTATTTTACAGAACATTCTCAAGTTCTTGATTGCGAAAGGAACATTTTTTATCTATGGAACTTCAGCATCGGGAGCAAAGGGGTGATGCCTGACTAACTACTGCATGATTAATGCTTCAAAAATGTGAAGAAGCTAAGTAAAAACATGATGCGGACAAAAGACCATACCGTTTTGCTTGCTTACATTGAAGCACTCAGTTTCGAAGTTGGTGCGATTGTTGTTCTGCAGTCTACATCCTTTACCTCTCCTTTCACATCGGTTACATGTTGGTTTGGACCATTTCAAAGGAAGAAAATAATATGGTTCGAATATATCATATGGAACACTGAATGGAAAGTTGTACAACTTGGTACAAGATGTGAGGGAAAGACTGTCAACGAATCTATCTGAAGGTATAGAAAATATGTGATGGCTAGTCCCACTAAGGCAAGGGATTGTATCATAATATATATCTCTTTTTGCTGGTGAGCAATTAAATAAGGTATAGTCATATAGGTACGGCTCTTGGAATATGAAAGCAGAGGAAGATAAATTAAGTTTCGGAAGATGTCTTGGAAGACAATTATCTGGATCAAATACTTGAATCACCTGAGATTTGTAGTTGATACTAGTGATGAAGAACTTAACGGAAACTGGCAGCTCAAGCACCGTGTTGTTGCTTCGATCGCAGGATAAATCAAATCCAGGATAGCCACAGTGGCTTGGCTGTTTCTCTCTGAGTCTAAATGGGAATCGGATAGGCGGACCATAATCTCCGCAGCGTGATTCTGTGCACTCATTTTGGCATGCTCCAAGGTTTATCATGAGACCTGCCGTGAACAGGATGAAGAAAGAGATTGTCATCTTTGAGTCTACACAAAAATTTCTCACTCTCTCCCAAAATCCATCTAAAATAAAATGTATGGTCTTGGCTTCCCGGGCAGATAATTAAATTGCTGACTGTCCACATCAAAATACCTCACTTCCACTTGTGCAATGGTCTGCAAGTTATATGACTGGTGGATAAGTATATTGTATGTCCCCAGTTGCGACGAACGATGTGGGAGATTTCTTCTACTTTTCGTTACTCCACAGTAGTCAATCAAATTTGTAGTCATCTGCTCCTAACCACAAAATTAATTTCGTTGTACCCTTTCGTGAAAGTAAGAAAGCTATTAGTGTTTGAAACGTCCGGTTTCCTCTCTCTCACAATGGCTGCAGAAAGAGTGCTACCCTTTGCACCCATATTGAGTTTTACCATAACGAGATTTTGTGAGTTTTACTACCAATTTATATTTTTATTAATTTGAGACTCGCATTCGCCTATTGTACCAACAATTTCATCAACTGATCTACATCACTGCTGAAGACCTAATGCAATGTTCTGTTATTTGGACTGTTTACTGAAAGATTGTTTTTTTGTGACCAAAATGGGTTCAAGTCGTGGAAATAACATCTTTGCAAAGTTAGTGTAAAGCTGCGTACGATAGATGTTCTTCTCTAGACCCTCGCAGAGAATCTTGTTGACTTGGGGTGTATTTTGACTGTTAAGGGCATTCATGCGATAAAACGAACGTGCGTTTGACACCCTTTGGAACTTAAGCAAATAAATACATATAATGCTCTACCAGGACTAGGGATGGGCAACGGTTATGGCGAGCGGGTAATATCGGTTATTTACCCATAACCGTTTATATTCATACCTGCATAACCGTTTAACCATTGGGTAATTGTATAAACGGTTATACACATACCCATAACCGTTTATAAACGGTTAACCATACCCATAACCGTGTACCCATTTAACCATAACCATTTACCCGTTTACCGATTTTTGAACTCGTTTGACCAGTCTACATGCTTTTTTTTAAACAACTTGAACATTACAAAAGAAAAATTTGTCATAATTTTCGTTTTCTGACAATTAAACACCACTATAGGTATATTTTAGTATGCATTTCCCTATTTTAATCATTTAAGTCATACAATTCCAATAATTGAAATAATAGTTTACGAACGATATTTTTTTGCTATACCCAAGCAAGTCTTTAATTATAAACCATATGATTACAAAGTAAAACTTCTAAAAACAAAAAGTAGTCATTATCTTCAATACTAGATGATTCAAAGCTCTAAAATATTCCGAAACTAAACACTTTCGAACACTAATGCTTTAACACGTTCAATCACAAAATCTCATCGACTCGTTGTCACAAAAAATGTCTACAAAAGAAATGTATAAATTGAATTAGTATCCCATTTAGGAACATCGATACCAATTAGCATGAATCCGATTAGCATCGACTCAGTTATGGATATTGACCGTTAGAGACACTCAGAAGAAAGAATCAGAACACCCTCTGGCCTTTGCGTCTCGAGTCTGTGGACGGTAATATATTAATGTTAGGAACATGAATTCGAGCCATGCATGCACTTAGTAGGCCCCCTACCCTACGTGAAGTTACAATTTCACCAATGCTGAGCGAGCCCTTGAGGGTATAAGGATATATATTGAATGGGTAAATGGATAAATGTACATATTAAATTAAATGAGTAAATGGATATCCGTTATAACCGCGGTTAATAACCATAACTGATGGATACCCGTTATAACTGTGGGTAATACCCATAACTGCTCATTTAAGTTTCACGGATAAACGGTTATACCCATAACCGTTTGTTCGTCTAAACGGTTACTCATAATCGTAACTGTGAACTTTTAATGGGCGGGTAACCGCGGTTACCCAAACTCATAGGTATTTTGCCGATCCCTAACTAGGACCATAAGAATGAGTTACTCAAAAGATGAAAAACTTATTGGGTGTCAAAAGTATACAGTTTCTCTATTTTGGAGTGTATTTGCACTGCATCAATTGATCTACTTCACTGTTGAAGACCTAATGCAATGTTTTGTTTTAGTATTTACACACTCAGGGGACTGTTGCATTCCTAATTTAGTTATGAATATGATTGTATAAATCTTAGTAAATTCTAGGAAATCTAGATAGTATTCTGTTTAGGTTGTAATCTTTATTGAATAAAGAATTTTCCTTCCATACTATTAAAAATAAAAAAAAAACTAATGAAAAGAGCTTAAAAAACTTTAAATGTTAACAAAAAACTAGTAACTTTATTTAATAATTATAACAAATCCCAACACTAAACTTGTCCAATCAAAAGCCCAAAGAATGAATTTTCAATTTTGCCCGAACGGCACTCCCTTCCCCGTTTAATGTTTCTCTCCCTTTCTCGATCCTCCTCCATCTATTCTCTGCTGTTGCTTTTATTTCCAATTCAATCACACTTCCTCCATTTTTGCAATCTCTCTCTCTCTCTCTCTCTCTCTCTCTCTCTCTCTCCACCCAATCTCTTTTTCATTTTCAATTCGAATTCCACCAATTCACAAATAAATTGAATCATCGAATCCGATAAGCACGGGCGAGCGGCTCAGTATCGGGCCTCTAGAGCTCAGTTTCTCCTCAAATAGTACGCTCTCTTCTCGTTTAGGTTTCTTGTTTAAAATATTTGCATATTTCTGATTTCGTTCCTGATTTCAATTCACGGTTTTTTTATATTTTATTTTGTTATTGAATTTCTGCAATCGAATTAATGATGAAGGTGAAGACCACGGCAGCCGGAAGCTGGAGCTGCTGGGCTTGGAGGGAAAGTGACAAACAAGGAGGTCAAGAGCTTGAACAAATGGTCAGAGCTGTTTCTTGCTTTTTGCTTTTCAATTTGTTAGGTGCTTCATTTGGCACCTCCTTTTTAATATGAGGGATGAGTTTTTATTATCTAATTATCTCTTAAAATTTCTTTTAGTTACTTTTCTAGTACATATACATCTTAAATAGTTTATCACAATCATCCAATTCCCATATGGTTTGACCTCTTTTCATTGTTGACGTGGGATTCTATCTTTGTGAATGTTGATCTATCCCTAATGAGTTTTAACTCGATTAAGTTATAATACTATATTTGATGTGTTCTGGGTGGAATGAGTGGAATTGGGGCCTGAGGTTTTCAAATTTCAATCCATGACTCAGAGGACGAGTAAATGGTTTTCAAATTTCATTACAGGAAGTTGTATTTGAGAATGGCATTGCATTGTTCTTTGGAATTTTAATCTTGATTATGAACAAACAAGCAAACAAAATCGTCAAACGTTTTTACATTTTTAGGATTGTTGGCAAATTGCTTAGCTAAGCAGGTTGCATCAGCCTTTTCCTGAGCGACGCGCATTGCGTCACCTACATTTAGGTGCCTGATCGTAGTTTTCTGAGACATTGGTTGACGTGTCATTGTAGACCTTTAATGCTTTTCGTGTTTGAACTATGTAACTAAAACCTTTCTTTTTCCCTTTTGTTGTGGTTTGGATTGTGGGATGGTGTCTGTCTAAGCATTTAAATGGTAATTGATATCCAATGGTTGACAAGATAAGTGAAATTATTTTGGAGTTCAAATGGTAGGCTTGTGGATGAATGGTTGATATAATGGACAATTTAAAAAGTTTGATCCTTATCCTACCTTAACAAATATGTTCTCTTATTAGTTCAAAGCATTCAACCCCTTCAGACTTTGGTCTTGGACTAGGAGGAATTTTGATCACAAATCTATTTGCCTTATAGTCAGTGATAAGTTAGAAAAGTTATTTATCTTCTGGTTACTTGTTATCAGTTTTACATTGCCAACTCAATATAGCTTAAACTCGAGAAAACGCTAACCAAGACAAAAGATCAAGAGCGTATAATCTTTCTTAGCACTACGATAATTTTCAGTGTCCTATAATATTTATAGTTTTATTAAGAAATTTTTGTAATGCATTTTGTGAAATGTTAAGACTCACCAAAACTAACAAGAAAGTTATGATATCTTATCTAGCATTTCAGGATTTTTAACTGTAATATATGTTAACAGGAAGTATATTTACTTTAGAACAAACAACTGTGCTTCATTGGGTCGAACCACAAGACATAGCATCTTAGTTTCGTCATGTTTTTTATACTTTCAATTTTTGTCACGTTCGTTATACTTTCAATTTTTGTCACTTGAGTGCTTGGTATAATCACCTTCCATTATGTGAAGACAAAAATCTTCTCTAGCTTGTGTCGCTTCTAGAGAAGCATTTCTATTTGATATTGATTGAACACTATGTGATTCAAGAAGTATGTCTCTCTCTCTCTCTCTCTCTCTCACAAATACATTTTTGGTGTATAATGCTTTGGTATTATTAGTTGTACATCTTTTGTGGATGGAAGGAAATTATCTTAAACTGTATAACTACAATCTTCCTTGACTAATAGGGAATTCTATTTCCTTACCAAGTTGCGGAATTATTTGATGTTAGATCGTGTTGGTCACCATGTTTTTTAGCAATTCTTTGGACAAACAAAATATAACTTTTTATATGTAAATTTGATTTGTATGCAGACTTTCGTACTTTTGAATCTACTAATGCTAGTTTTATCTCTTAAAAGTTGGAAAACTTTGTTCAATTTAAGAAATAGCACACTATTTCAGGAAGAAAACAAAAAAAAAACTATTTTTTGGATAAATTACATAGTAGCCCCTCAGGTTTGAGGTATATTACAATCTCATACAACATCTTTAAAACATTTCATTTTCATACTTCAAGTACTATTTTTATTTCAAAATACATCCGTTACATTTTTCATCCATTGATCCGTTAAATGCTGACGTGATTGTCACGTTTATACCACGTGGCTGCCAAATGTGTGACACGTGGTAAAAAATAGGTTAGAAAATCCAAATCCCATCAGTCCACCCCCCCCCCCCAATCCCCATAACCTGAACCTTGAAAGAAGAAGAAGCAGCAGCAGAAAACCTGGAACCCGATGAAGATGAAGAAGAAGAACTAGACAACCTGGAACCTGATCCCATAACCCCCCCCCCCCCCCCCCCCCCCCGCCCCCCCCCCCCCCCCCCCCCGCAATTTCAATGTTGGATGATTCTAAAAAAGTTCCTTTAGTGGCATGAATGGTATCACATCGTGAAGAACGGAAATCAAATAATTGATCCATTATGTCGGTGCATAGACAAGACTGAAGGGCAAAGCATTGGAAACCTTATCTCCTTTACAGCTATGGCAGACACAGAGAGAGAGACCCACAGGAACCTAGATCCACGAAACCCATATCCCATATCCCCCCCTCGGCGAACCCAGATCCCATATCCCCCCCTCGGCGAACCCAGATCCCATAACCCCCCCCTCGGCGGCGAAGTCCAGATCTCAGCAACCACCCCCTCCAAATCATCTTCCGTCTGTCGTGCGCACCCATCATCCATCTCCTCCTCTGCACCCATCTCCACCTCCTCCGCACACCATCTTCCGCTCCCTCGACTCGAGCCCAACCTGCAACCCAGAAAGAAGGGAAAAAAAAACCAGCGCACCCACCCTTCGTCTTAAATCCACACTCATTAGGGAAGACAGGATCTGGGTTGCAGGAAAAGGGGAGATGAGTTTTTTTTTCCTTTTCTTTTCTGGGTTGCAAGTGGTGGGTGCACAATGGGTTTGGGGAAGACGGGAGGGGAAAGAAAGGAGTGGGTTGCAAGGAAGGGGGGTCGGGGAAGATGAAGATGGGTGTTTTTTTTTTTCCTCTCCTCTTCTTCTTCTTCTTGGTTGCAGGTTGGGTGGGTTGGGGGCATGGGTGGGTTGGGGGCATGGGTGGGGGTTGCAAGTTCAGCTTTTGTTTTTGGTTTTTTTTTTTTTTTTTAAATTTAGAAGATTCAGGTTTTTGAAAAAAAAAAAAATTTTTTTTGCCACATGGCATACATTTGGCAGCAACTGGCATAAATGTGACAGCCACGTTAGCATTTAATGGATCAATTGATAGAAAATGTAACGGAGATATTATTTTGAAATAAAATAGTACTTGAGGTATGAAAGTGAAATGTTTTAAAGATGTTGTATGGGGTTGTAATAGATTTCAAACCTAAGGGGCTACTATGTAATTTACCCCTATTTTTTGAACTACAGCAAAATAATCTACACTATTTATGAAATTGAACAAAATAAACACTACTTCTGAAACTACAACAAAATAACAAACATTATTCTTGAAATTAAACCAAAATAACCCATAATATTTATGGAATTAGCAAAATTACCCATATTATTTTTGGTAGGGAACAAAATAAAGACTACTTTTGGAACTCAACAAAATGACCCACTATTTATAAAACTGAACAAAAATAACTCACACTATTTATAAAACTAAACCAAAATAATTCACACTATTTCTTAAACTAAACCAAAATAATTTACATTATTTATGAAGTTGTACCAAATAGCCCACACTATTTATGAAACTGAACCAAAATAACTCATACTATTTCTGGAACTACAACAAAATTACACACTATTTTTTGAAATTGAACCAAAATATTCCACACTATTTTTGAAACTGGAACAAAATAACTCACACTTTTTTCTAGAATCTCATCAAAATAACCCACACTATTTCTGAAACTGAACCAAAATAATCCACATTATTTTTGAAAGTGAACAAAAAAATCCACACTATTTCTTGAAGTTAACAAAATAAACACTATTTCTATAAATACGGCAAAATAATCCACACTATTTAAGAAATAGTTATGGTACCCGTGTTGAGTTCTATAATATGAAATAGTGATAGTGCATTTGTTCAGTTCTAAGAATAATTAGTATTCATTTCTAGAAATAATGTGAATGGGAGGCTAAGGAACCTTGGAACCATATAAAGAGATTTGTGGAGTTTACCATGACACATAAGGAAGAAGTGAAAGCTATTGTCACATCTGTCATTGGAAGTTGTAGACCTTAAATGGTACATTTATTTTTTGTATGAGCATAACATAGACTCCATAAACAAGGCATCACCGCAAGGCTAGAGGGAAAGTTATTTGAGTAAGCAATATGATATCTAGAGTTGGTGGTCTGTCATTTCTTACATTTAGTTGTTATGCATGTAATTGTTAACTGTAAGTGATCTATATTGTAGACTAGCTTTGGTTTAAAATTTAAAAACTATAAGTGATGCCATTTACTTTGCTATCCGTTTTTGCTACAGTTGAGTTTGTAAAGGTGTCTCTGGAAGACATCACTGCAATTAGCCATTTGAATACGTTTAAGCTATTGAGTTATTACAAAATATTTTTTTTTGGTTGGGTCAAAGGTGAATAGATATTTGGAATAAATTAAATTAGTTTTGATTTTATTTGACTTTTTAAGGTCGGTGGCAATTTTGTAAATAAAATGAAGTTGTGTTAACAGAATTTGGTTAACTTCTGTTAAGGGCAAAGTTGGAAGAAAGATTTGATGTTGCATTTTGGGCCTTGCCTCAGCCCATGAGACTTTTTTTTTTTTTGCCTATTATATGTTACTTTTGTCTTTTTCACGAAATTTCAAGATCTTTTCATTAAATAAAAGTTGTGCATAGTTTTTTATTAAGAAAAAGTTGACCCAAACCCTTTTTATTAATACTCCCATAAATAAAGTCATAGCATGAAACTCCCTATTCCCTTTTTATAATTCTTCAATTAAAAAGACCTAAAACATTTAAGATATTATTGTTGGTATTTATCATAGTTTTTTAGGTAAATTACACAGAACTACTTCAACTATTGGGTCATTAATAGTTTCATACCTCGTCTTTAAAAGGTTTTAATATCATACCTTATCTTCGAATTTGTTGCAATGTCATACATTTTGTCAATTGTCTGTCAATTCCTCTGTTAAATGCTAACTTAGCTTGAGGCAGGGCCCATTTTCTATTAAAAATTAATTAAATATTAACTAAATAAAAAAACCAAACCCCCCCCCCCCCCCCAGAAACCCCATCCCCTTCCCATCTTCCCCATCGATCCCCCCCTGCGCCCCCATAACCTTCC